CTGGCCCCAAAACAACAAAACCGATAAAACCGAACCGAACAGAACCGAATCAAACCGATGGTGCCAATGAGCACCGCGCCTAACATACGGATAACTTTAGAACGACAGATGTACGCTATTGGCCGATATTTATAGTAACAACCATCTTGTCTGACGTCATTGAGGGATTCCTACTTTGTTGTCGTTCACGGTGGCAACACGACCGCAAAGCACAATTGCAGTATTTTTAAAGCCTGCAGCCTACAGTGGCGTGGTGACAGAGTGGTTATGCGCTTGTCTCCAAAGCAGAAAGTCCAGGTTCGAGCCTCGGTTCGGCCACGGATTTTTTTTTTCGCCCACCCACCTCTAATGGGTAGGCTACCTGACTTCGAGTTGGGAATTAAAGGGATGTCAAACAAGATGGTTGTTACTATGAATATCGGCCAGTGGCGTATATCTGTCGTTCTAAAGTTATCCGCATGTCCGTGGCCTATCGGCCTATCAGGAGTCCGGAGTATATTGTGGTGTAGCGGTTAGGCGCTTAATCATTGTCTCGTGCAGGGGACACGGGTTCCTTTCCCGAGCAAGGAGTACTCACTTTGGGTTTTTTTCTGGGATGTTGTATCCCTCTTAGCCCGGGTTGGCCCTAACAGGCAGGATAGGAAGCCTACCTCCTAAAAATTGTTAAGTGATCTACATTGTGTGAATTTGGGGGGAAAAAGAAGGTGGGGGGGGGGGGGGGGGGGAATGACACCTTCGTACAAAAGAGCCAAGTACCTTGTACCGACATGGAAAAGTAAATTCTTCAAATCGCTTTTTTTTTTAAGGTTCAACTAAACTATGTTTCTGTTTAAACTGCAAAAAAAGATGTGGGAACTGTTGATTAATTTGAACCATGAATGTAGGTTTCGTTTTAAGAGTTTTATGGCACTTGCAACATAGGCTACTTAGATCATACGTGCTGGAGCCTGGAAATCAAAAAGAAAAGAAAAGCCAGAAGTGTTACGCAATAACTGTATATAATACTGGCCTATATTTTTATCAGTTCAATCACAGTATTTAGATGAATTTGATCTGACAGTCAACGCCACGTGATTGTCCACATGTGTGTATGTGTATGGGGTGGGGGGTGGGGGGCACTTTACTACTTTTATCTGTCTGTGGTCGATCTTTTTTTCTTCATGTATATAAATAGAAAATTCAGAGACACATTTTTAGATAAGAACGTAGTCCTCGAGTACAGTTAACCTTACCTATAAATCCACTTTCTCAGTGCCAGTGGTCTTCTCACTGATGTGAACTGCGGCAATGTGGGCCAGGGTAGGGCGGGGTAGGGAGGGGCGGTGGTGATAAGAGGTTTAAGGAGGTGGGGGCAAGGGTGGAGTCGGGGTCGGCGGGAGCAAGAGTGGGGAAAGGGCGGGAGCAAAGAGTCAAACCGGGTGAAGGGGGGAGGGGGTGCTGACTTATACTAGAGAAACGGCTATTGTTGTTGTGTTTTGAATGGACAAGAGAGAAAGTAAACGGTACCAAAATCTATTTCACTTGAACACTGAGAAAAAAGAAAGAAAGAAAGAAAGAAAGAGAAACAAACAAACTAACTAACAAACATACAAACAAACAAACAAACAAACAAACAAGCAAGCAAACAAAGAAACAAAGAAACAAACAATGAAATAGGGAGGGGAATGCGTATCTGTGGTAAATAGCATGGACAAGCCAGACTGTGCTCCAACCGGCGCTTCGTGCAACAGAATCAAATGTGGGAAATAACCTGAAGAGCCACCCGACGGCTCGATGAGGTGGAGGGGGGGGGTTAAAACTTCATTTTAAGGTGAATAAATTAATTATGGGAAGCCTACTTCTCCTGCCTGTGGGGTGCCACTCAGCCC